TTGGCCAGCCAGTCACCAATTTGGTGAGCTCCAGAGGTCATGAATGGCCCTGTCTTAGAAATGTGGCGGAAGGCTGGTAAGATGGCTCAGTGAGCGGGAACGCCTGCTGGGCATACGTGTGAACCTCAGTGAGGATCTGGAGGAGCCACAGAAAAGCTGGGCGTGGCCGTGGGTGCCCGGGCAGCTGCACTGTGGAGGGCAGAAGCAGGAGGGTTAGTGGGACTTGTTAGCCGTCAGACTAGCTTCAGCTTTCGTGGGAGGCCTCGACTTAACAGAATAAGGCAGAGAGTAACAGAACAGGACATCTAAAGTCCTCCTCTGCTCTGCATGTACCCTTGTGTGTGCATACCCTTGCACGCGTGCGGGCGTGTTAATTGATTTTAAGAAAGAAAGCGTTGGGCCTTTGAGATGGCTCAGTGGGTAAAGGAACTTAGCACCTAGGCCAACAACCTGAGTTTGATACCTAGAGACCATGTGGGTAGAAGGAGAGCTCTGACTTCCACAAATAGTCCTCCCACCTCTCCGCGCGTGCGCGAACACACACACACATACACACACACACACACACACACACACACACATGCATAAAGAACCAATACCAATCTTTGTGCATAAGCAAACCCCCAAAACTCGTTTAAAACACATAGTCCTGGGGGGCTGGAGAGATGGCTCAGTGGTTAAGAGCATTGCCTGCTCTTCCAAAGGTTCTGAGTTCAATTCCCAGCAACCACATGGTGGCTCACAACCATCTGTAATGAGATCTGGTGCCCTCTCTGGCCTGCAGGCACACATGTAGGCAGATATTGGATGCATAATAAATGAATAGATATTTAAAAAAAAAAGAAAAAAAAAGAAAAAAAACACATAGTCCTGGGCCCTGGATATTTTGATGTACTGAGTCTGGGGTGAAACCTTGAAGCCTACACCTTCATCAGTCTCCCCCATGCTTTGGTATACCTGCTGTCTATGTGTTCACTGGCCTTGAGAACATCTTATGTTTACACATGTCACGTTTCACTAACATACACATAATTTGAGTATCTTGTCCCAAACGTCGATCTCTACCTTGGTCAAAGGATTAGCAATCTTCAAAAGGAAACAAACTCAGCATTTCTTTATTGTCAGAGATGGGAATCTGGTAATAGTACGGTCACCCACATAGGCCCTGGGAGCACTAAGGTCTCTCTCTCAAGGAATGCCATTGGTGGCATGTTTGAAAGTGAGTGTGTATGTGCAAGCAATCTACCTGCTACCAAGAACAGTCTTTAGATACGCTGTGGGTGCAGCTTCCCAGTGTGACCATTGTCAGAGAGAGGACAAAGCCTTTGAATCAGCCCTTTGGTAACTGACCCTTCCAACAAACAGTCATGTTGTTGAGGTTATGAATCTAGGTAGGGCACAAATAAGGGAGAAACAATTCTTTTTCTCAAGGCTTCTGCAGTACTGAGTCATAACTTCAAGGGTTGATGTCTGCACTCACAGCGTTGCTGCCTCCTTTAGTACACACATGGTGCTAGTGTATGCACGCCCTTTAGCACACTAACTCATTTAATCCACATGCTAACACCAACAACCCTGCTCCACACAGTCTGGAGACAAGAAAACAATATCCAGTGCCCCCAGCAGCTTAGTTCCAACGGCGCCTGCGGAATTTTAGTTGAGGTTCAGAAAACACAGTTGCCTCTCAGACATTTTCTTTATGTTGTTGTTAGAACTTGGTTGCTAGACTTGGTTCATAGCTCATTGAAAAAGAGATGGCATTTACTGTTGGATTTGGGAAAGAAAAATCTCTCTTTTTGTAGAGATAGAAACACTAGTATTAAAAGTCTCTTACCCATATGCATGTATGAAATTGTCAACCTTAATTAAAAAATCCTATCGAGTATCTAGGTATTAATATAAAATCAGACATGTTTTTTGTTTATAATTATTTATGATACCATTCTAAATTCAAATATTTCATAACATTTTTACAAAATGGACTGCTTTCCATTAAAATTCATGCAATGCTTCTCTTTATCCAATTTAAGTCAGTCATCAAAGGATGCTCATGCTAGCGACATTTTTTTTTCTGGAGCTAAACATAGTGAATCATATAGTCTGAGAGTGTTATCAGCCCCCTTTCATTTTAAAGAAGAGAAAATGCACCATGGAGTCACTGCCTCTCATTTTTTTAAGGTCATTGATTGGGTTCAAAAGGCAAATGCCTTTTTTCGTTGAACTTCCTTCAATTAAGCCATTAACCTCTTGCAATAAGTGTGTTCAAAAATCTATCAAAGGAAGCTAAATGAGATTTTAACAAAATCCTGACAATTTTAGCTTAAACATATACACAGAAACCATATGTGCTTAGGAAGAAATATATACACACAGGCATTGTTTACAGAGCGTGTTTTTCTATTTGGAAGACAGTGAAGGAAGACGTATTCCACACATAATCTGAAACGTGCGTTCAGAGAGCTACAGAGATCCCACAGTAAGAGACAAAGATATCTCTATCCACAGTGTGGAGACAGACAGACTGACTGACTTCAAACTTGGACTTGCAATGTGAATTTTTTCCCCCCTCATCTCTGGGTACTGCTTTTCAAAAGTGCCTCAGGCTACAGAAGAGCACCTCAGATCCCCAAGGCCCACTGCCTGACTCCTAATAGCCACTCTCCGTCTGTGTCACATGAGCAGCTGATGACATCGCCCCAGTGTCTGTATTTCCGAGAGCACTTCCACCCAGGTGAAAATGCTGGGGTTGCCAAGGAGCAGTCAGAAGCCATTAGTGTGGGTGAGAATTTGCCTTGCAGCAGTTCCTTGGCACGGTGGAAACTGTGCACACGTCCCCATGCAGGCTTGGGCGTGTGTGTGTGTGTGTGTGCATGTGCAGGTGCGTGCATATGCATGTGCAAATGCATGCGTGTGTGTGCATATGTGTGAGTGCGTGTGTGCATGCATGTGTGAGCGCATGCAAGTATATATGCAACTCCCAGATAGATAAATGTACATGTGTGTGCAGGGAAGGTCAACAGATAAAGACTAGATTCTATATATCCAGTATTCAAAAGCCAAAGGATTTTTTTCCCCTGCCACCTATTCCTTCTTTGACTATTGGACTCTGTGTGTGTGTGTGTGTGTGTGTGTGTGTGTGTGTATGTGTGTGTATTGTATCCTCATCCCCATCTCTCTGTCTCTGTTTCTATTTCTGTATGTGTATGTATGTGTGTGTGTGTGGTGTGTGTGTATGTCTCTCTCTCTCTCTTTTATCATAACAGAAGGCAAAGAAAAAGAGAACAACAACTTGGGGGTCATGCTCTAGTGTTTGGGCAGATGGAAGGGAGCTGCTTTGCCTTGGGGCAGGGTGGCTGTAACGAAGTGGCCTGTCAGTCTGTAAATAGTGAGGGTCATCCCTTCCATGTGATGGAGGGGATCGCATTGCAGTGAAAATGGAAATGTCAATAAAATTAATCTGCCAGCTCTCTTTGCTGTGGTTTTTCTGCTTCTCTGGTCAAAGAAGGTTGAGGGTTTTTTTTGTTTTTTGTTTTTTTTTTTTTTCCACGAGAGAGCTAAAGGAACAGGTACCAGAAAGGCCACAGGCAGACCCAGAAGTTCTAAGGCCAGTGCCCCAGTGGGCAGGAAGTCTGGGGAAAACACCATTTGGGAGGAGGGAGCGGGGCTGGGGATTTGCTGGTGGATCTGCTGCATTCCTTGGGCAGCTACAGAGTGCCCAGCTCAGGCTACATTGAGCACAGAGTTTATTGTTTTAGGCTTTCTTGGACAAGGTTTTTACTTAGCGTGGGATTTATGGCATTTACTGCTAATGAATGTCTATTCTTAAATTACAAAAAAACCCATCTCAGCGCAATTCCCAGATGTCCTTCCAGGACCCCAGCTTCTTAAACACCAGCAGGGAGCATAAACTCTCCGCTTCTCTGTTTTCCTCTTTCGTGTGGCTCCAGGCTAATGATGTGCAAGGGAAACACAGCCATCTATAAAGCCCCAGTGCTGTCCCCGTATTCTTCATTTATTTTGCATTTGATTATGCCACAAGTCGGATCTTGTTTCTTTCCTTTTTTTAAAGTTATTAGTTCAAATATTAATGTAGGGATATGGCATATATTGCTACCCTTGATTGATGCCTTCCCAAAAACAGGAAGACGTGCTCGTATGAATTTTAAGAAAGTAGGGGTCCTGCAATGCCTTGCCAGAAGAGTTTTTCAGATACATAATTTAGATGCCCTCCAGGCAGGCTTTCAAGGCATTTTTGCCGGAGGGCAAGAAAAAATAACTCTGACTGTTAAAAGTAAATGATTTTTGCTAATGCACAATTAATGCCAGAGAAAAGCACAGAAGAGAAAGATGTGGCTTAGGAAGTTCTGAGTAAGTGAGCACCCTACCTTGATGTGTGTCTTTTTGTCTGCCCCCTTCACGGTAATGATCAGCAGTGCCGAGAGCTTAAAAGTTTTCATGTCATGCAAATGTGGCGCTCTGGGTCACGGGAGGAGTGTGCAGAGTGGGCGAGTTTGGGAGGTGACAGTTCTGGGAGGGGCCGAACAGGCAGTGCGTTATGTGCAATCAACAGTGACACCGTTGCTGTCACCTCTGCAGGCTGCCCAGGATATATAGACTACAGAACATTTAACTTGATTACCCGGCAGTCTGTGCTCACTATGGGCACAGGGATGTATTTCTACCAAATGGGTTTTCTCGTAGCGGTTTGCCCACACTGGGTTCCATAATTGACAAAGAGCTACTGCGTTGTGTCAAGTACACAATTATAATTGAATTAATGATATGGGCGAGAGGGAGACACACAAAATTAACATTTGAAGAGGCCTGGCTTAATTTTGTCTTTTACATATTTGTGTCTCCAATTATACTTTAATGAAAGGGAATATACCCCCTTAATGGATTTCTTTCAGCGAGCTTAGCTGAGCTCGTCATTAGCCTGGCATTGTTGTTGGCACCCCTCGCTCGGCTTGCTCTAATGGATCTTCATTTCTTCCTGTTAGGTGACGGGTTAGACAACAGTGTAGCTTCACCTGGCACAGGTGATGATGACGATCCAGACAAGGACAAAAAACGCCAGAAGAAAAGAGGCATCTTCCCCAAAGTCGCGACAAATATCATGAGAGCGTGGCTGTTCCAGCATCTCACAGTAAGTGAAGACACAAGATATTTGAAATAATGAAAACTTTATTTGGCATTTTGCGAAGTTTGTGCACGTCACATGGCCTCTCACACATGGTTGGTTTTGGTTTCAGTTTGAGTTCTGTCCTTCTGTTTCGTTTTTTAAAACAAGGTTGCCTACTTTCTGACCCTCGGACTCTGGTGACTCGTAGCCGTCACAATTTTGTCAACCCTTACCAGCCAAACAGCATCCTCTAAAAAGGAACAGTGTTTTGTCTTAAGAGGTCAGCAATGGACCTTGTTCAAAATGGCTGAGACTTTCAATAGCATATGTCGATGTTTACTGCATTACAAGATATGAGCAACTTCAGACAATGCAACTTCAACCGAAGGAGAGAGCTGTAAGGAGCTCACGAATCTGTTGGCATTGCTGATTCTCCTGCTAACCAATGCTGTCTCCTCCATGAGCAAAGCCAGTATCTTGCACACATACATGCCCAGGCTCATCTCACGGAGGTGGTCTGATAATTTGGCATGCATATGTGCGTGCGTGCGTGCGTGTGTGTGTGTGTGTGTGTGTGTGTGTGTGTGTGTGTATGTGTGACCAATACAGAAAAGGGTTATAGGTACTCTAGTGCCTTTGTTTGTAAGGTTGAAGTGAAAGATTCTGTTTTAGCTGTTCAAGTCCATTATCTTAAAAGCTAACCCTTTTCACTTCTGGGAAAGATTAATATGGGCAATGGCCTTAAAGAGACAATTTATATCCCCGTGTTTGCAGTCAGTTTTATGTGTCAGTATATACTGTTGACTCAAAGGCTCTCATGACGAAAAGTGACAAGATTTCTTTTTTTACGGAGGAACCATGCATGCTTATATTTTACTATCTGTTTGGAAACCCTTGGAAACTTTCCGAGGATGCGTCCTGTCCTACATTGTTTCCAGGCCATTCTATGTACACTATAGCTTAGGAGCAGAGTAAGTAGCTCATTGAAAGCTGAAGATCTTCCTCGCTGATCCAGCTTGTGTGTAGTCATGCTGAAGGAGTTAGCCACAGTGCTGTGAGTCCAGGACAAGTTGCCCCTCTCATTTATGATGCCGGCTGTTGGTCTGCTCTTCTCACAGAGGGACGGAGGGCAAGGGGTGGGATATGGCGGTAGCGAGGGAGAAGTGGTGGATTCATGTTTCTCAATCGGACATTTGGCTGTAAGGACGTTAGGGCCAAACTGAGGTGAATCGATCTGGCCTGCGGTGTCCAGATCAGCTGGAGGTACCAACGAGGCTGCCTTGGCAGTGGTTATTCTTGCCTTGCAGCTATGGCCATTTCAAAGGTCAGGGCCCTACACTGACTTGGCTCAGAGGAATTAGACGGAACATGCGTCTCTGGGCTGATTACTTAACCAAAGACAAAATAATGAGTCCTAAGCAAATACTGACTAATTGAAAGGGCTGTAAATCCATTACATATTGGTCAGGGATAATCAGGAGTATTTAATCACTTTTATCTATTCAGGAGCACTGAAGCTGCAACGGCAAAGCCCTCAACCTTGCCATGTGCTTATTATTCTCATCATTATCAAAATGACTTCACAGCTGTCCATTGCTACATCACCTCAGCTGGAGACTGGCTAACCTGTAAAATGGCTTTAATTTGGAAGTCGAGTGAGTGTGAGGGGAGGGTTTCCTTGTTTTTACCCCGAGGTTTGGTGGTTTAAAGAGCTGGAGATGCTCAACAGGCAAACTGCTTCCTCCTGACCAGTTGGGCTAGTTGGTTTGCTTCCTCTGGATTCCCTTACAGTGATAGCGTTCTCGGTTGAAATGGTTGCCTGGCAGCCAAGCATCTGCGTGCATGCATTTTCAGCCATTGCCAGGAAAATCAAGGTGTCAGAATGCTCATAACCTTGGAGAATGTGGCTACTTTGAACTCAGACCGAGAAGGGGACTCTAGATGGTCAAACCCAGCTGTCTGAGTCGCCAGCTCCATGTTCTTTCCACCTGTGAAGGAGGTGACTTTGCTCAGGTCTTGTCTTTAGTGGAGACCTCAGAATGTCTGCCATTGGTCTGCTCGAAGTCAAGGTGGTGATGGCGGTGATGCGGTTAGGGAGAAGCCAGGGGCTGCCTTGCTCCCCTGTCTGGAAAGCCATTGGCTGTCCCAGCTCTTCTGAATATGGAAGGGTCTCTGCTCAAGCTCTGAACAAACCTCCTGGTGAGCCATCAAGAGCTCTCCTTGGATTTCTTGCCTTGACCTCTCATGGATCCATCGTCTCACCACACACTGCAGTCACCTGCTCATGATTCCTTGGCACCTGCCCGTCAACGGTGCTACAAACTCACAGCCCTTGCCGCACGAGAGTGTTTACCTAGTTAAATACAAACAGGACTTTGTGCAGAACTCTCTACACCGCTAACAATTTCACTGATTGCTTAGAGAGAGAGAGAGAAAAAAAAAGACTCACATAACCCGAGTCTTGACATCAGGAGTACTTCATTTCAACCTCCCTTTTCCCCTGGAATGTCTGATGGCCAGTTTAACCCATTAGGTTCCCTGGATTCTTTTTTGGTCCATTTCTCAAATGAGAGAGCTATGTCATGGCATCCATAGGTCCCTTGTCTGTACCTCTGCATCTGCGTTCCACCCAAGGCCTTTGGGTAGAGCAATGCCCCCAGCACACAGTCATCTTGCCATTTCCTTCCTCTTTTCACTTGTCTCCGAGTGCTTGCTTTTTCTCCTCTCCATGGCTTTCTCTCAGAAATTGCCCTTTTTCATGGCTTCCTCCCACTGGCTTTGTCTCCCATCGCCCTTTCTGTTCCCCTCCAGGCCTTTTCTGCACCTCCCTTGGATCTCAGAGAAATTCTCTCTGGCTTTCGTTTTGAAAATGTTTTCTCTCTCCATCCACACGTCACCCCCACTGTAGCGAAGAGACCCAGTAACTTTGATGAGGATGGTCTTGTAAAACTTTTACTTTTCGATCTTAATGAGCTGAAAGATTTACTCCGCTGTAATTCTGAGCTCAGAAAACAAGAATAGAGCCCCCTAACTAGCGACATGTTAATTTGGACCTCTTTTCTTACATACACTAACAGGCATGCGGGAGTCCTTGCAAAGAGGGATGTCCTGGTATATTTCTCTGTCATTTAATGAATTTCAACATTCAAAGTGAAATGTCGGCTGGAACTCACCGCAAATCGATGTGGCCTAAATTATTATTTCATGTAAATTTCTTTCCATGTGTGGGATTCAATGCACATTCTTCCATTATCAGTCTCTTTAACATTTATTTCAAACTGGCCTGTCCCCTTTTGTGTGGTGTGACCTGTTCTTGTAGTACAATAATCCCTGATGTACCCTTTTTTTCTTTCTTTCTTAAAAAAGAAGCTAATTGAATTATCTCATTATTTTAATTTGTTAAGCAAATGTATTTTGCATCTCAGGATGTGTTCTTATAGAAGGGGGCTGCAAAGGCTTTGCCCCCTGAATGGGCCATTGGCCCATTTTGACATTCATGCATTCATTAACTATCAGAACATAAAAGAACTCTGGGTGTATTTTTTTTTCCAAACACCCAACCAGCATGAAGCAACTGTCCCCAATAAGCCACAGGGGTCTCCCTACATATGTTCTCAACTGCAAGCTATTGTCACCTATTCTGAATACCTCAAAAGGCCGAGAGGAGGGAAAAAACCCAACTCAACAAAGGCCAACTGTAGCAATTGTGAAGTCTTAGTCTCAATATGACAAAAATCATTAACCTTCCATTTTCTACGAAGAACAAATTCCAGTACAATTGTAAGAGTTGAAACAGTCTCTCAGATTCCGATGAACCACGGTTAGGGGAAAGGATAATCAATTTGTTAATAATTGATTACTTTGGAAAAAAAAATGTTTAAACTAGAACCAAAGTAGAATTTTGAAAACTGAGCTGTTTGATGAGTCTGTTTCCACGCTCAGAGCCAAGCTCTTTGAATTTGCTTGATCTGATGTTAAAGGATTACTCTCTAGCTGTCTAACTAACAGTTTTCATGGTGTCCTTTAAAACAATACCCTCTAGAATGTGCAATACTTTTACATAAATAAATCTATGTCTTCTTAGAAATTCAGTTAGCAAAACTGTTGAATACCCATTCTCCTCTTCCATTCATGCATGACCCTGTCTGGTTTATTCACCCTACAAAATCTAGAGGAGGTGGAAGAAAAAAAAAAATCTGTTGGAAATACACTTGCATTTGCCAGAAAGTAGACAAGGACCAAAACAAGTAAACAAGCAAACAGCCATAGAGCTGTCTCAGCAAACGGTTATTCTCTTTGTTCACACTTGCAGATTATAAAATTCTAAAAGTAAGCCTGCCATTACAATTTTTTTTATTCTACTGCAAAGATACTTTAAAAAGAAATGGCAAGAAATAATCTTCAGGCTGGCGGTTTATAACCATACTCCAGGCCTTTCATTCTCAAGTCAGCCTGCAAGCACCTTTGCTCACCTGGGAGAGCCCCTGAGTTGTGCCCACCGTGGGGGAGAAAGAGAAGGTCCTCACACCCAAGGTCTTGACTTGCTCACGCCAATTTCTGACCCAGGAGGGTCTTTGCATTGGAAATGCCATAGCCCTACCCTTTAGTAGGTGTGGCACTTCCTTCAGAGATATCCACACTGCCTCAGAAACAAGCAACAGTACCTTGTGCAGTCTCCTTGAAATGACAAGTTTTGATGTTCTGTCACTGTCTGTGGCAAGCACTGCTTACTCGCTCTGTGTCTGTGGGTGTGCGAAAAGGGGCTGTGGTCTGTGGCTTGGTGACTCTTCACCTACTGGCAGTCATTTTATGGGACTATGTAAAAGCCTAGCTTGGTGTTGACCTACAGAGAAGATGAAGCCTAGTTATGTCTACTTACAGGTTACATTAGAGATGCAGGTCATGAACACCCATCAATCGGTTCATGGAGATCTGTTGATAGGAAACAAAGTCATCTTGAGTTTCTTGTTATACTACACCCTCACGCCCACCCCCACACAAGAGAGAGAGAGAGAGAGAGAGAG